CACTGATTAGTGGCAGGATTGCTTTCTAATTACTGATAGATTTCAGCTGGGGTCTTGGCTTTCCAAGCCTTTTTGCACCTACATTTCTTCATGTTTTCAATACTTTTTCCCTGTGCCATTCCATTTTATTACACATAACTTAATTACTGAACTTATTTGTTTTGTTTTCTTTGTATGTATGGATTACTTGGGTTGTTACCAACATCTGGTGAAAATTTCATGTCAACAGCACCTTTAGAAATATATTTACTGAGAAAAATGGTGACGTGTTCAATACTTATTTTACCCGCTGTGTCTATCTATCTACATGTCCACAAGTAATGTGAGGTCATTGAATGAATAAGTAAGTAAATAAATAAATACATATTTTAAAAAGTTAAAGCAGGTTTTCTTTACATGTCTACAGGTTTAATAATTTGTTATCTAATGCGATAACATTCATACTTTCATTCATTTCAGTTGTTGGTGCCACTGTAAACACGAGTCAGTGTCCAGATGAAGCCCATTAAAAGGCTTTTAAAATTACGTAAAGTCCACATTGAGACTCTGGCATGGTTGAATGAGGGATTACAGACCTGTCGTTATCAATGAGGAAGCTACTCTTTGAGTCGCAGCCATAGACCCTGTTTTGATTGAGTTAACTACTTAATCAGCTTTCAAATGTGAGCAGAGAAACCGCACTCTGTGACGCCAAGTCTGCTGGCTGCAGGATGAGTAAATATTTACACGGGCGTCCAGTCATTATCACCAGCTTTTAGTTGAGTTGTTTTGCTCCTTGTTTTATGTCTTTTACAGTGGTCCTCTAAACAATCATCAAGCCACTTCGGATTTCGCCACTTACACGTTAAGACGTCCTCGCTAGCGGTCCAGCTAACAGCTCTGGATGAAGTACAGAGCGCTGTTGTTTGTATGCTAATAGAGTGTAACTTATTCACAGCTATTATTAGAGACAATGGAAAATAAATTATATCCATATCAGCACACGGTTGTATTTGTAGCGGCGAAACTATGTATTTAACAACTCTATTTCAACGACACTGAGGGAATCCAACAATTCAGTGCGGAATTTGGTAAATTAGCCACACTGTATGAAATGAAGATGGATCTGAGCCAATGAAATTAGAGTTTGCTTGCGGTTTAACTCAAATGACATGAAAAAGTCTCTGGAAAGCTTTAAAACCCCTACTCCACCCATAAGCACTTGATTATTAATAAATGTGAGCAGCATGGCAGTGCAGATAGACGTGAGAAGCGCAGCGTATCCTTTAGGTGTATCTACATCAATGTTCCTCGCTCACTCTGGCAGGTGAAATCTGGTTCAGAAAGAAGAAAAAGAGCTGGAGAATAAAGAGAAAGCAATAGAGGGTTTTTTAACGTGACACCACTGACAGCTTTACTGCATTACAGCGAGCTTAAATAATGGGACGCTCATTTGCATAACGAGGGACGTTATCACCTCTACTGTCAGAATAAAACACAACAACACTTCTGCCGCTCCTCCCAGAGATGAATCGGGTTGGCCTACTTTACGGCACCAAAGAGGTGCGCACATGCACACAAACACCGGCGCGCACACACGTGTGTTCTGTGATCGCGCTGTGTGGATCTGAGCTGTGAGCACTTTATAGAAAGCCTGGGTTAGCTTCTCGGGTGAGGGCAGCCTTTCAAAAGCAGAAAGAGCTCAGCAGGAGGGCCCGATAAAGGCCCCGCACACCTTTTTCCCTGAGAGACGGAGAGCTGAGCAAAGCCGCGTCGTGACAACGGGATCATATTCTAGAGCGGGTTAAATTAGGATGGCCCACGTTTCCATTCAGGTTCTTCTTCAGCTCTTATGGATGGTAAAGCCTCATCTCATCATCAGTCACAGTTTTGTTGCATTCACATAAATGTTCAGCTAAAAGGGCAATTCCAATGTGTTCGTTCGGCGTGCTCGTGACAATTCTGTGCAATGTTACACCAGTGTTGTTTATGAAAGTGGCGCTGCTTGTCATTCGGGCGATAGTAAACGTTACACTGCAAATGATTAGAGCTGTTAAGTTAGTGGCACTTCCAAAACACTGTCAAATTCTCTGTGACTGTAGAGAGAGCATGACAGTGCTGTCTACCCTCATAGTCGCAGCCGAAGCGCGAGAATCTGATTTGCATGATATTGATGGCAGAAAACAGCGCTGCCTCGGATCGTCGGCAGATTCTTTTGTCTTTATTTGCTGTCCCATGTGACTCAGACTCTGCCTTTCCCTGTTTTTTAACGCTACGGTTTTGCCATTTTTCATCTGACTTAATGCCTTTCTCTCTCTGCATTTTGCAGGTACAGCTACTGGAATCTTTGAATTGAGCGGAGGAAGTCGAGAGAAGAAAGCCTGGTTTGAAGAAAAAGCAAGCAAAAACAGAGGGACGAAAGAATAAGTTCATTAGAGAAAGAGAGAAACGAAAAGACGGGGACAATGGGGAGGAAAAAGATTCAGATCACACGGATTATGGATGAACGCAACAGACAGGTGAGTCACACTGACCAGAAGGAGCCAAAAACCACCTCTAGACAACTTCCTTCACTGAAGTTTGATGGGTTATTTCAAACGAAAATAGACCAAGTAGGTGGTGTGTGCACGCTAATTGTTGGCGTCCTCGCATGCCGCCACCTCTAGCTTATGGCTGTGGGATATTACTTTAGCAGGGGCAGGGTGGGTGGAGAACACAAACACGCAGAGATGGCAATGGTGGAATGATGCCACATGCTTCAGGGCTTTAGGTGGAGTCAACACAGGGGTAGAAGATGGCCCTCGAGGGGCCTTCCTGTCTTAGCTAGTAGTTTTCCTCTTCAACTTGGCTCTCAGATCGCTGAGATCCTGTTCATCACTTCATAATAAAATAAATTGTCTTCAATGAGAGAATCTATTTATTATTCATCCCTGCTGAAAAATACCAGATTTGATCTGTTTTAAGCTGGTCTTGCAGGTCTCCCAATCTTCCTAAGCTTCCTAACCAGCAGCCAATTGCCCAAAACTTCAGCTTTGACTAGTTTAGACACTAAGATACATTTTTATCATTTGGCTTTAAAAAAAAATCTGTTAATGCATTCACATTTGAACTATTAGAAAAACATCTGTATCTCCATTTCTCTGGCCATGAAACAGAATCAAGTCGGGAACACACAAAAACAGGCAGATATTATGCATAGCAGATACTGTAGTTGTATTGATCGTATTGGTGCCAGTTACATAGACGCTTGTTTTACTGCAAGATCAATAAATGTTCTTTAGGTTTGGCATTTACATTTGTCCTCTTATGGAAAAAAAGTAGAAAACCTGGAAAGCAGTTTGACAGAAAGTAACCTAGACTAGTTTGAGGTTTTTCTCTGTCTTCTGTATCGTAACGTGACTCTCTGAACAGTCAACCAGAGTCCTCACATCCTTTCACAGGATGACACTTTGTCACAGAAACAGACATTCGTAGTTCCTCAGTCTGGTCTGGAGAAAAAAAAAGATGTGATTTTGGGAAAAGGACTTGGCTAACAGTTGATATGACTGAGTGAGACCATACTGCTGCAGTTAATGGCTGCTGTCTGGACCTTGGGTGGGTTGATCAATTATTGAAGATAGTCTGAGGGCCCGAGGAGAAAGAGAGAAAAAAGCGGGTAAGGAAAGTAATGGGCGTGTCAGCCGGAGCAGACGGAGGGGGCACAGTGACATTAGTCATTCAGTACTTGTGGGTTGAGTAAGTTCTCCCCCTTGAGGAAACCAGAGGCTCACATGCATGTGGGCACTCATGCCAAATGCTGAAAGAATGAGTCAAGGTACTTCTCAAACCAGAAACTTCTCTGTTCTCTGTTTCTATTTATTTTGAAAAACCAACAAGTTTTGAGGTTAACGAGGCATCATATTGAATTCGCTTCTGAGTTTAAAATAACATAAACATTTAACATAAACGTTTGTGTATATGAAAAATAAAAGTTGTATTGGTGAGTTTACGTTTGCTTAAAGGAATAATTCATCTAGAAAGGACATTTTTGTCATTATTTACTGAATTCAACTTAATTTTTTTTTATACTGAACACACATTTTTCAAGAGACTTTATGCAGCTCGTTCCGTACAATGACAATTCATATATGTCAAGCTCTAAAAAGAACAAAAAGCATAAAATGTACCATAAAAGTAGTCCATCTGAGAACATGTGATATTTGATCTCATTAATGTTTAAAATATATTTGATTTGTGAGTCTTGGCTGAGGGAAAGGAAATAATATAAGATAATGGCTTATATTTTAGTTTTTTCCCCGAACAAATCTTTGGTTGTTTTAATAATTTAATTTTATTTAGTTTTATTTATTTTTTAGGGGAGAGATTGGCACAATAAGTGACTATTAACTGCCATTATATAGATTTTTGTCTTATCCACAGATAATATCATGAGTCTATAATGACAGAATTTTCCTTTTCTACACAACCTTTTTTGCACTATTTTCTACTTTCAATGCTCAGAGACACAGGGTTTCTAATCATAAGCAAAGATGAAAAGGAAAGGAGGAGGGGGGCTGAGGTCAGGATGTTTTTGGCGAGGCTATCGGATTGCACAGAGAGCATCCTGTCTTGGTGTTATCGCTGTTCTCCTCTCCTTCTCTCTCTCTTTTCTCTCACTCCCCCTTAACCAGACTTCAAGATCAGAGATTGATACAGGAAGGACACCTGATGAGAGTCAATGCCACAGATTTCCAGGTCTTGGGATAGAAAAGAAGAAAGGGAGGGCCAAGAAACAAACAATGACATTTAATTCCTTTTGACCAGTTTCCTTAAATATGGTTGAAATGAAGCGTTTCATACTACTTAATTACTTAAGACGCATCACGCTATGTGGGATTGACCTCTTGGCTCAAGTAAACTTCCAACCTGCATGATTGCAGTGTTGCAGGACAGTGGAGTAGATAAAATATGTTAACATTTTAAATTCTTCTAATTATTTATTATGTATTACGTAACAAATACTAAAGCCCTTGAACATGACATTTATCCTTTTGCCAAAATTGGTCATAATTTTGCTTGCTTACTGTCTAGTATGACCACATCGTTAGCCGTATGTCAACAACTTTAATGAAAACCAGTTCCAAAACCTACTGTGGCCTTGCAAAGTGATAAGAATAAGCTCATAAATTCTCCATAGAGATTTTGGTCAGAAGATGCTTTGCTGAAAGCATGCATCATAAATTGTATGTGTATTTATAGAGTATACGCCATGTTCTACAGCTGGCACAGGGGTTATCATTGACTCTTGTCCTCTTGCTGCCATTCATCTGGGGCTGTGGCAAACAACTTGCTTCTTTGTATTACAAGTGAAGCATGAAGACAGACATCACAAGACAAGAATGGAGGGCCTTTGACTTACAAAGGGTTTTTTCTTTTCTATTTTGCTTTTTCTCTCCCCTCTAGCTCTTAATGTGTTGAAGACGTGGCTGGGGCTGTGCATATTTTCACTTCCTCTTTAAGGAAATCTTTCCATACTGAAGCCAAATAAACAACAGACTGTTTCAATGGTGTCACCTTAAGCTCGACATTCTTGAGATGTTTGCTCTCTTTTCATGCAAATGCAACCAATTTTTGTAGCAGACTTTCATTTTATGGGTGACCAAAGATGAAAAAGGTGATGCTAATAATAAATTACAAAATAATTATATATTAAAATGTATATAAAAATCAGGTAACACTTTATTTTGATAATCCACTTTAGACATTCTACTAACAGTAAGTAACTTTGCAACTACATGTCAACTAGCAGTCATTAGAGTATTAGTAGACTGTCTGCTTAATATCTTCTAACACTTTATGTTGATGGGTCCACAGCATACAACATACTGAATATCAGAAACTTTGCAAGTATATGTCAACTTATTCTACTAACCCTAAACCTACCCTAACAGTCTACTCTGAGAGTTAGTAGACATGTAGTTAGTAAAACTGTGATAAATTAATAATACATTTATCAGTTTCTGATCAAAAATGTACTTTTGAACTGTAGTCTATATTAAATAATTTTTTTAATAATTGCATATACTTTTTATTTACTATGTCAACATGTTAACATGTATTTATACATTTTGCCTGATTTGTTGATAAAAACAAGGCAGGATAAGTGAAATAAAAAAGGTGAAAGTATATGATATAACCTTAAATACTAAATGGATATACTGTAAAAACCTAAACCTACACAGTGCATAAGAATTAAATGTTTGAATGCTCAAAAATCTTTGGCTCAACTGTCGTCTTCCATCATTGCCTTGCTGATATCACCTCTTCCAGACTGGCAGCTTCCCTACGGCCCACCCTGCTTCTGGCGCCATGCTTATGGGCACAAGGCCTCAGTCGCCCTGGGCGGCCACTTTGGCTCCGTAGCCCACCTCCTGAAAACACTTGCACAGAGCAAGGCACCTCCAGCAGGCCTCCCTGGCGTTGACTGGCTGCCCAGAAGCTTAGACAGAGGGCATCAGTGTGAGGAGCCTGGCTTTCTTCCCCCCAGCCACTCAAACACTTTCCTGGGCACGTCACATGAAAGGACCCCCTGTGTCATAAAAGTGTTAGCCGCATCGCTAACAAGAGCATGCTTACTGTCTAATTTTCACACTGCTGAATACACAACATACACTTACAGGCACGTTTGAGAGAGATGAATCTGTGTAATAATTATATTAAAATAAAATGATGTTTAGTCAGTTATATTTTGGAACTAGCTGATTCATCTGCTATATGATGACAAGAGAGTGCGCAATACCAGGTTTAGGGCGGGATATGGTGGATGTCTGATATTGGTGATGAAATAAAGGTGATGAAACATTTGCTTACTTGGCAGAATACATTTTTAGGAGTTCAGGAAAATTATATGGAGTCTTTAAGGCCACATTAATGTGCAGCATTCGAAAAATATTTTATAAAATAATAAGATGTACTGTTCAAAAGAGGCCAATAATGTTATTCAGTCAGGATGCAATAAAAAGTAACAGAAACACATTTATAATGTTACAAAAGTACATTTTAAATGAATGCTGTTCTTTTGAACTTTCAATTCGTTAAAGAATCCTAAAATAAATAATCACGGTCTTCACAAAAATATTAAGAAGCATGACTGAATGATTTGTGAAGGATCATGTGACACTGATGACTGGAGTAGTGGCTGCAGAAAATTTGGGTTTCAGATCTAAATAGCAGTTTAATACACATATGTGACCCTGGACCACAAAACCAGTCTTAAGTCGCTGGGGTATATTTGTAGCAATAGTCAAAAATACATTGTATGTGTCAAAATTATAGATTTTTCTTTTATGCCAAAAATCATTAGGACATTAAGTAAAGATCATGTTCCATGAAGATATTTTGTAAATTCCCAACTGTAAATATATCAAAACTTATTTTTTGATTAGTAATATGCATTGCTAAGAACTTTGTTTGGACAACTTTAAAGGTGATTTTCTCAATATTTAGATTTTTTTGCACCCTCAGGTTCCAGATTTTCAAA